CCAGTATACGATAGAACTCGTTTTTCATCATAGCTTCGGAACCACTAATAGGCTAACACTTCATCATATAAAAACTTTTCACTTGACTCACCCCAGGAGATCCATAGTATCACACAGGTGAATTCCCATAATCGTAGAATATGAAAATCTCTAAGTAGTGGTCTAAGCCACCATTGCCCTTCCAGAAATTCTGCTTCCACATAACAAGCCATAACAGTAGAATGCTTCTGAATAGCATCAATTGCGGCGGCTGACAAGCCTGATACGCACCATCACAAATCACTCGCATAACTCGATCGCGCTGAAAAAACTGATCACTAACACCAATATGCCAAATTCAACTATGGCTAATCCATCTACCTTCTTCCAATTTATCCTTGATTGCCTTAGAGATAATACTAACTCCATCCAACACATAACATACTCCATCTGCACCCATCTCGAGTGACCTCGACTCACGAGACCATGCTGTCCCGAATCCCGCGAACGACTTCATACCTTCCTTGCGCGCATATTCGCACCCTCAACTGATATGCCCATTCTGCTAATCCTTCTACGAATCCATAGTCCTTCCTCATCTTTCTCTCAAATGCTATACTGCAAGTCAAAACATCATAGAACATTCTGAGCCTCCACTCATAAGCTGCTGCAAGGCTCGATTCTTAACTGTACTTATAGGCTCGAAATCATTAGGCACCATACTTTACCTCTTTTGAATCCATTAGGACCGTTACTGAGAGCCACCCGCTCTGACTTGGTCCCGAATATAATCAACTACATAGACCTTATAACACATGAATACCCTCTCGACGATGTTGATACCCAATTTTTCCCTATGTATTTTTATATATACTCAAAATATTCTCAAAATAGTATGTACATGCATATATAAGCATACCCAAGAGTTTTGGTATTTTTCCTTATTTTAAAGATTTTTTAAAATCACTTTGTTGTCTATTTTAATAGTACAAAATTCAATAATTATTTCCAGACTATCATTTTTGGTGAATAATTTATATTATTCTCATATTTACACCCAGATATAATTAAGGTGATTTTTTTGCATGTTTTATATAATTTATTTGATATTTTTAAAGCTAAATTGCTATAATTGCAATTATAGCCTATTTTCCGATTAATAGTATTTTATAATTACAAAATCGCTCCCAGTATTTTTTAATTAACATTTATATGTTATTAATCAATTTAGTGCTTTTAATTGGTTTTTAAAACTATTTTAACTATTTTTATTAAAATAAAAAGGGAAGAAATGGCTGTTTAACATTTAGCCTCGTTCATTTCAATTATAACCCCTTTACATTCCAATTTTAACCACAAATTGAACCCCCAATTTCAACCCCAAAACCCCCGACCCAGTCCTCAAATCACCCGACCCATACCCGATTTAATGACCCGGTCCAGCTTTAATCTAATATGAGTCGTTGATCAAGTGAGATTAACGGCCCAGGTTTTATTTCCAAAATTAAATTCAACAACCCCCCCAAACCCCTCATTTCAGAGACGGTCTCTCTCTCTCTATACTGACTCTTGCTCTCCCTTCTCTCTAGAACCTTCTGGTTCTCTCTCTCGTCTCCGATGAATCCACCGCCTCTCCGGCCACCTCCAGCCTCACTTCTCTCGGCCACCAGCCGCCGTGAAACCTTGTCTTGTTGATTCCCTCCATTTTCGAGACTCCAGAAGCCTCCACCTTGCAAAATGGTCATCGGAAGCTCTGCCTGGTTTGTCTCCGACCTTTCTCCGATGGTTTATGGTTCGATGGTGCTGCGAGCATCATTATTAACGAGTTTCACAGCCAGGTTCCTTACCTCTCACTGGTTTATTATGAAACCCTAATTTTCTTAAAAACCTTGTCTTTTTAAACGATTTTTAACTTATTCTTTTGTGTTTTACACTACTCTCTACTAGATCTTTTCGATTGTTCAAGTTTTCAACGTTTTGTTCTTCTTTTAAAACTAGGGTTTCCTGAACCCTTTCGAAATCACTATATCTTCTGATTTTTTGAGTATTATGTGTTTATGTTTGTGTTATGTGCTTGTTGGTGTGATCTTCTGGTTACTCTTCGAGTTCCATGCTTTAATTTTGCTATTAGGGTTCCAGCCTTCTATTGATTCTGTGATTTCTTGCTTAGGGTTCTCTGATTTTCATACCTATTGTGTTTTATAGGTCTAATTGTTCATCGTTTACCAAATATTCTGCTGATTTTGTGCATCTCTTCGAATCCCTGACTTGTATATGTGTTCCTTAGAAGTTTTATACTGATTTTTTAATCACTTCCTTATTTGTGAAATGCTTTCCTTACTTAGTACTGATTCCCTGTGATTTTCAATTTCATCCGTGATTCTTTGAACTAATTTGTGTGCACAATATGCTGTCCTTATACTTTCCTTACTTGAAATATNACAGCGAGTCCTTAAGTTTGACTTGCAGGTTCAAAAGTTAAGGACAGGAAGTTCTTAAGTTTTACTTGCAGGTTCAAAAGTTAAGGACAGGAAGTCCTTAAGTTTGAATTACAGGTTGAAAAGTTAAGGGCATGAGTTCTTAAGTTTGACTTGAAAGTTCAAAAGTTAAGGACAGGCAATCCTTAAGTTTTAATTCCAAGTTCAAAAGTTAAGGACAGGCAGTCCTTAAGTTTCAATTACAGGTTCAAAAGTTAAGGATAGGCAGTCCTTAACTTTGAATTCCAAGTTAAAATGTTAAGGACACTTGGTCCTTAACTTGGTCTTGAACTTACAGTACCTGTTCTTAATTATACAAGGATTGCTTTATAAAATATGTCCTGAGTTTCTCATTCTCTTGACTTGCAGGATGGAAACAATATGCATTATAGTTGCTTTTAATGGTAGATGGACTGAAGACTATAAATATCTTGATCATCAAACAAAGCTTGTTCTAGTACCTGAGTCAATTCGGTTTGAAGATTTCATTAAACAGATCTTTGAGGTTATTGAATTGGATAGACACAAGTTTGAAGCAGTGATATGGTTTGATATTAACCTTGGAACAAGCAAAGGAATGCTTGTATCCAAAGATTTAGATCTTCACACATGTATAGAGTTACTAAGAACTCATTCACTCTTCAAGGGTTGTCGTTTCATTGTTGATATTTCGGAAAGAGTTTTTGGATCAACAAGCAATGAACATGTCAACACAGAAACTCAACATGACAATCAAAACAAATGCCAACAGATAATGGAAATAGATATGGTTGAAGAGGTGCTTCAAACACATGTCAACAGAGAAACTCAAGATGACAATCAAGACAAATGCCAACAGATAATGGAAATAGATATGGATGAAGCTCAACCAATAACTGAAGAGGTGCTTCAAACATTTGATTCTATTCAAGTAGAAGGACAAAGCGTTATAGAGATTGACAACGAACAGGCTTTGGGTATTCAAGTCTCAGAGAGTGCACCGGTAATCGAAGAAGTTGCTGAAAAAACCTCTACTCAACTAACTAGACGAAGATCAAATTTGAAACAAAAAGAATCCCCAACTACGATATTAAGAGAAAATGCTTCGTTGGAAGAAATAAAAGTCGGATCAGTTATTTGACAAGAAGAAGAGTATAATTAACTGTTTTTCCAATATAGCAATTAAAGGACGTTTTGAATTCAAGGTTGTTAGATCAAGCTCAACAAGATATTCGTTAAAATGCAATGATGATAGGTGTTGTTGGTGTGTGCGTGCTTTCAGAATTAAAGATTCAACACTGTTCAAGATAGTAAAGATTGAGAAAAAGCATGACTGCTCTGCTAACACAATGAAAGCAAATCAAAGGCATGCTACTTCAAAGTTGATTAGTGCTTACATTATCGACAATCTTTGGGACCCAAGGTTTGAAGTTACACCAGCTTTTGTCATGGCAGAGATGCAAAAATTGCATGGACTAGATATTGGATATCACAAGGCGTGGCGTGCTATTCAACATGCTTCTGCTTTAATAAGAGGAGCTCCCGAAGAGAATTATGAATTATTGTCTTCATACTTGTATATGATGACAAGTAAAAACCCGGGAACTTATACTAACATAAAGATAGACGACAACTATAGGTAAACAATCAAAAAAGAGCTTATTAGTACGTTTTATAAAATTTAGGACATGCTGTCTTTAACCTTGTTAACTTTTGAGTTGTAACCAGAAGTTCAGGACTGGTTGTCCTTAACTTCTGAACTTGTAATTCAAAGTTAAGGACTGTCAGTCCTTAAGTTTGAACTTTGAAATCAAAGTTAAGGATCACATGTCCTTAACTTTATAACTTGAAACTCTAAGTTAAGGACTGACTGTCCTTAACTTTTAACCTTGTAATCTGAAGTTCAGGACTACCTGTCCTTAACTTCTGTTAACCTTGTTTTATATTGTATTTTCAGGTTTCTTTATATATTTTATGCATATGGATCATCAATAGCTGGTTGGAATCATTGTAGACCAGTGATTGTTGTTGATGCAACTTTTTTGAAGTCAAAATTTCGTGGTGTTTTAATGATTTCAGTTTCAAAGGATGCAAATAACCAAATTTTCCCACTAGCCTTTGGAATAGTAGAATCTGAAAATAACAATTCCTATGAGTGGTACTTTAGTCAGCTTCGCAATGCAATTGGGAGCGTGAGAATTTAATTTTTTTATCAGACAGGCATCAAGCTATTGCAAATGGCATTGCAAAGGTATATCCTGAAAGCCATCATGGGATTTGCATCTATCATTTGGAGCAGAACCTAAAGCGAAGGAAGGTGAAAAGTGAGGTCATAAAACTTTTCCAAAGTGCTACAAGAGTATACAGGCGCAAAGAATTTGACCTATACATGTCAGATATAGCAAAAGTAGATAAGAAGACTTATGACTACTTGATGGAAGAACCACCGGAAAGATGGGCACGTTCTTGTAGTCCACGACGAAGATATGACATGCTCACAACAAACATAGTTGAGTCAATGAATTCTGTCCTATTAGAAGCAAGGGAGCTGCCATATTAAGAATGATGGATTTCATTCAAGTGAAGCTACAACGTTGGTTTTATGAAAGAAGAAATAAAGCAGAAGGAACATTTTATGATGTTTCTTGTTGGGTAGAGGAGGAATTGAAGAAAAGAATAGATTTAGCATTTACTTTGAATGTAAGTATTATGTTCTATGTTTATCTTATGATTTTAATATTATTTAACATAATGTACTAACTTATAATTTTTCAACATTGAAGGTCTTCCCTGTTGATTCATGGCGTTCTAGAGTTGAAGAAGAAGGAATAACTTTCTTGGTGGACTTAAACAAAAGAACATGTGATTGTTTTCAGTTTCAATTTGATGAATTACCATGCATACATGCAATTGCAGCTATCGAGAAGAGAAACATCAAGAAGTCCAACTTTTGTTCGCACTGGTACTTAAAAGAATCTTGGCTGAAAACATATGAAAGACAAATACATCCTGTAGGACATACTGATTCTTGGATTGTACCAGAGAGTGTTAAGTCACAAATTGTTAAACCTCCAGATTTCAAAGTGCCACCAGGTAGAAGGCAAAAGAAAAGGCATATTCCTGCTACCGAGTCATCAAAAATAACATTCAAATGTGGTCGTTGCAGAAGAATTGGTCATAATAGAACAGCTTGTATATATTCTCCGGCTCTCCATCCATTTTCAAGAAAGCATAGAGAAGAGTAGATATATCCACTTATGTTTATCAACTCTTTTAAGTTTTTGCTATAAATTGGATTCATTTAGATTATTCTTATTTGAGCAGATGTCTGTATTTTCAAAATTTCTTTCTTCTTACCTTCTTTTTGTTTCTTTTGAGTTCAAAGATTAAAAGTTAAGGACAGGAGTCCGTAAGTTCGACTTGAAATTTCAAAACTTAAGGACAGTCTGTCCTTAACTTTGAGTTTCAACTTTAAAAGTTAAGGACATGAGGTCCTTAACTTATAGTTTCAAGTTCAAAACTTAAGGACTGTCTTTCCTTAACTTTGAGTTTCAAGTTAAAAGTTAAGGACTCCTATCCTTAACTTTGAATTACACGTTCAAAAGTTAAGGACAGGAAGTCCTTAACTTATAGTTCAAAGTTGAAAACTTAAGGACTCTTATCCTTAACTTTGTTTTCAAATATTAAAAGTTAAGGACAGGAAGTCCTTAACTTATAGTTTCAAGTTTAAAACTTAAGGACTGTCTGTCCTTAACTTTGAGTTTTAAGTTCAAAAGTTAAGGACAACAGTCCTTAAGTTTGACTTGCTGGTTAAAAAGTTATGGACAGGCAGTCTTAAGTTTGAATTATACGTTCAAAAGTTAAGGACAGGCAGTCCTTAACTTTGAGTTCATTTCCGAATAACATAACATCCGAGGATAACCAGACTTGGAAGTTCACAAATTGTTTTTCCTGGAAAATAGGAATTACTTCCATAATCCAAACACAAAAGGCAAAAGGAAAGCCAAGTATAGTGTAGCTATCCTTGTCTTTATCTTTGTCTTTCTCTTTCTCAATCTCATTCTCATTCGGCTTCAAACAACTCTTCAATGATTTTAATAGTGTGTCATAAGAAAGAGAGCCCCAGTTGAAAGAAGAGCAGAGTGCATCATCGTCGACAATTTTCATTATCTGCTCGGACACATTCCTTTTCTTCCGCTTGCCCATCAAAACAGATTCAACAAAATAAATTGTTGCCAACTTGACAGCATCATCATCGCTGCCTACAAATGATGAAGCTATACCATGTGGGTGACTAGAAATAAAATTAAACAAATCACCCAACTCAATTCTATCCTTTTCGGGGAAATAGACTTTCGAAAGCCTATTCTCTTTCTCATGTAAACCTTTGATGTCCAGCGAGGAATAACACTTCAAACCAGTAATTATATGAAATGCGTCACGTGTAAACTTAATTTCACGGTCAAATACCTTGAATGTCATCAAATCAGGGTCATTATTCACAATTTCTGAAAGCAATATATAGTGAATAAGTTTACCATAGAACTTCACACTTTTTAATCGGAAGAAGTTGCCAAAAATACCATCCCTCAACTTCTTCCACTCCCTGTTTGACAAAAAACTTTTAATTGTTTCCTTATACTGTAAATCTCCTTTCCAATACACCATAAAATTACGCCAATCATCAAACTTGAACACACGATCTCCTTCCATTATCACACTACAAAGAAGGAAAAAAAACAATGATTAGGACTTACAGTTAGTTGGAGGGACTTGGTCCTTAACTTCAAGTTTCACGTAAAAAAGTTAAGGACAAACAGTCCTTAACTTATAGTTTCAAGTTGAAAAGTTAAGGACACTTGGTCCTGAACTTCAACTTTCAAGTTCCAAAGTTAAGGACACTTGGTCCTTAACTTCAAGTTTCAAGTTAAAAAGTTAAGGACAGGCAGTCCTTAACTTATAGTTTCAAGTTGAAAAGTTAAGGACAATAGGTCCTGAACTTCAAATTTGTAGTTCAAAAGTTAAGGACACTTGGTCCTTAACTTCAAGTTTCAAGTTTAAAAGTTAAGGACATGCAGTCCTTAACTTTGAGTTCCAACTTCAAAAGTTAATGTCGTTTGATCCTTATCTTTCATGAACACAGTTAACTAAAAATTCATAAACACAGTAAGCTTATGAATTTCTACGACTATTTTTATGAAATGTCCTTACATAATCAAATATATTGAATCAACCACAAACACATTACACATTTCAACGCCAAAATTTTCTGAATAACAGCATCACAAAAATACGCTACTTCTCCAACACTGAATCAACTTATAATGATCATTTTTGAAATTTCACACATACTTGACACGGCATTGAACGCGATTACACATATAGAAAAACAAAAATGCATAAAACAAAAAAAAATTACCAGTTCGATCTTTCGATTCAGAGAAGATGAAGAAGGAGAAAGATTAACTGAAGCTCGTTTGCATGCGAGGATGATACAGTAGCAGAGAACACGCGAAACTTGCCCCTCTCTCAAATTTTTTTCGCTCTTCTGAATGAAAAAACAAGGGTTTTGGGCCTTTTGGCATATAAACATTGAAGGAAGGGTAAAACAGTCTTTTTCCTATTAGTAGTGGCTATTCTTGCTGAGCATTATAATTAGTGGATAAAAATTAAAGACACCCTTAATTAATGGCTACTACACGCCATTTTTACCAAATTTGACTGACCAAAAAGTCATTTATTTCGTTAACGAATGAAAAGGGCCATATTTGGCCCAACTAAATGATTCTCAATGGAAGTCCAGTCTAAAGAATCAGAATAAAACCGGTCCACAATAGGTACAAGGATAAACCCGTTAATCAAAATTTTGAGTACAACCGTTAAAGCCTAAATCACAACCCGTGAAGCATAGAAAGCTGACCAGTAAAAACGTCTTTGTACCCTATGAGAGATGAAATTTTTGGTTTATTTATAAAAGTAAGAAATTGTGTGAAGGCAAAGGGAATATTTGGAAGGTGAAGATTGTGGGAAAATGGCGTGGAGAGCAAATCTGTCTCGGAATCTGAAGGAGCTTCGCATCCTCTTTTCTCCATCCTCCCCTCAAAGTGCTGCCACTAGGTTTCTTCCTTCTTTTCCCTATTTCTCAATTTTTTTTCTCAGTAATTACTGCATTGAAATGAGCTCGAATAGTAATATAAAAATATCTGAGTTACTTTGCGATTGAGATGTAGTTGATTGATTAATAGATAAATTAATCCCAATAATTAATTGTTTCATGTTTTAAATAGGGCGTTCATTGAGAAGAACTACAGAGATCTCAAGACTCACAACCCCAAATTACCTATTTTGATTCGTGAGGCCACTTCCATCGAGCCTCAGCTTTGGGCCAGATATGGTAATTTTCCTTTTCAGTCTTTTTTTCATTGATTATATCTCTTCAAATTTCTAATCGGCTCTCAATGCAGTCAATTGAAGTGAGTTGTTGAGTTATTTGATGAACGATTAGTATTTTAGGCACTTATGGTTGTAGAGTGAACTTCTCCATTAGTCTCTTTTAAAAAAATTCTTTCTTTTGCATTTAGTTGTTGAATTTAGCTGCTATTTCTTGAGTTCAGATGACATTTTCATTGTTGTTGTTACATTGCATTTGGTTAATGCTTTATTAACATTTGATCAGGTAAGGGATTGATAGAAATCTGAATCATAAACTGAATCATGAGTTACTCAAAAGAATAAGTATGAAGGAATTATATGTGACTGTAAAGAATATTCTATGACGTTACAATCTTATGGATTTGGTGATTTGAGCATAGTGAATACACTTCATAAGGGGTTGGGTTTTCTAGGTATCTAGCACTTCATTTTCCCATAGATAGCACTCAATCGGTTCTAGTTTATATGGCATTCTTTTCACTTTGGGATTCTCCAAAGTATGTGATACTATTGCACTCGTTTGGTAAGTTCTTGTAAGGACCAATTTGATGAAATTCTATTTTAGCTTTTCCTTAGGGCCAAAGTTCATCAAATCTAGTATAGTTAGCTTGTTTTAAATTGATGTGTACCTCTTTTTGACCTTCTATTCATTGATTCTTTCTATAAAATTCTAATAGACCTAGGAGTTGAAAGGGGCATCAGATTGGAGGGCTTGACGGAGGAGCAGATCTCAAAGGCACTTGAGGACCTTGCAAAAGTAGGGGCATCTCGTTAACTTGACGACATTGGATCTTCAGAATTGTATGTCTTTGCATTTAGCACTTTGTAGAGTTTTGTCCTCGCATTGTGCTTTTTAAAATAATCTTTTGGTGCTAGTTATCATGAATCAAGCTGGCAGTGCACAAACTTGAAACTATGGATATTTGGGTTTTATTTGTTGTTGGAAAGGCAAGTGTTTGAAATTCTCTGTTGTTAGAATTGGAAGTTTATGTCATTCCTTCTGTGCTTTTAGTCTTGTTACAGTTGAGGTTTTATCGAGTGTATCTTTGTTGATGGACTAATCTATTGTCCTAGTTTATGCCAATATATATAACTCTTATAATGCAAGTCAACTAATCTGGTGCGTAAGATAACACATAGGCAAATGAAGAGCTGCTAAGTGATATCTTCACTTCCTTTCCTGGCTAATAAAATTTCAATCTAGTATACAGTACTCACTATTAGGTAGAAAGGAAAAAAAACTACTCTTAGGAGATGACATTGATCTTCATTTTAGTAATTTCCAGAAGATAATCCTTGATTTATAGTCTTGAGTTTGAGAAAGCTGACCCGCAAAAAAAAATGTATCCTATATTTAAAAGAGGGGACAGTGTAGAAAACTGTGGAAAGTCTGCCCTGCTCTGCGTGAATACTGATATTTAAGCTCTTCAATCAGCAGCTTCTCTTCCTTTGGGTAGTGTGGGATCGAAAAGGATAAATTAGTTGACTACCTCTTTGTCGAGCAACTGCTAGACTGCACGAGTCATTCTTAGTCTTAAGATGCAGAATTGCCTGACTACAGGCAATCCCAGACTCCCCTATACAACGTCTTCCTGTTAAAATGTTTGGCTGAGGTCGGGAATGCTGGAAATATGCTTATGAGCCAGGTTGGTCCTTGATTGTCTAGTGGTATAGCTTTGGAGCTTCATCAGGTTCAGATAGGAAAAAATACATAGTGATTAAATATCAAAGAACTGGGTCAAATATGAGGATATAAGCCAAGTTGGATAGACTATAATAGATACTTCTGGTTATCAAGTTTATATTGCAACTTCATGCTCTAGAGCCCCATTCAGAGGCTATAATCGTGAGGCATGATAATAGTTTATCATGGTATCAGTGCAAAACTTCAGCAAATTGTGTATCAGTATTCTATACTGGTGTTTAAATCCCTATTTTAGCAAAAAGAAACTGTATAAATCCCTCGTTTAGCAGAAGGAAAGTGTGTAAATCCTTGTTGTTCAATCACGGGTGTGGAATGTTGCAACACCATAGTAGGGTACATATAGCAATGGAAAGAATTATAGAAAGTTCATGATAGACAGTGAGGAAAAATAGGGAAAAATACAAAGCAAAGGGCGTCTGAAGTTTCATCTTCTATAGAAGTCAATTGATTTCTTCAAGAGATCTCCTTGCAAGAGTTTTCGATGCTTTGGTCGGTTTATATTTCTTCGACTACTGGTGCTTCCTGTAGCTGTATTTGTGATTGGTTCCACTGCTTCTTCTATTTGGTTTCCATTCCATTCCTGTAGCTTCCCCCTGTGAAAAGATATCAGGAAAAATATTTTTAAGTACTTTATTAATGTGAAAGCATGAGTGATCTCACATTTGCAACATGACCATGTCTTTTCTTGCCACTGGATCCTCTTCAAATACTTCAACCTGAAAAGTGGAAAGAAAGAGCATCATGTCAGATATTTTTGCTCATTGATGGAATTTAACAAATCTGATGCATATGATTTTTTTGTATCATACAAATTTCCATCCGAGAAGATTCTCGCATTTATTACAGTAGACATCTGCTACTGTGTGAGGACCAAGTTGCCTCTGCTGCTCTGCTTCGTTTACATGCACATTCACCCTGCATATTTTATCGTTCAGATTAGGTCTTCGCTGTTCAGTTAACTCCTATTAAACTATCCCAGGAAATAGTATTATGGAAGCTTACACTTTATCAAATACACCTCCAGTCACCCCGCTTGCTGGCTGAAAAACACATAACAGTAAATAAATGAAATAAGAACCGTCATTTCTATCTACATGATATATATCTCTGCAGCAGTTACTAGTGCAGTCCACTCAGTCTAGTATAGTTGTATGAAGCTTACTCTTTAATTAAATATAGGGAAAATGTAACGTCGAGTAAAAAGCACATATCTTTCTTATAGACATATAAATTGATGTTCTTGCACATTCTTGCAAAATTAAAGAAGAAAAATAATGTTGGCGGTACTTGAGAAATGGACGGCAAAAGAAGAAAGGGAAAAGAGACGGACCAAATTTCTGTGTGCATAAAATGCAATTAAGCCTTGAAACTTATCCAAATAGAATCGCAGCCGTCATTTTTCAAGAGAAGATTAACCAGAACATTGTAATCTCGGGAATACGATGAATATGCGCATTACGTATCTGATGTGTCTAATTAAACATATTTTCATTTAATATTCGGAATTGAAAGATTAGCAACACTATTACAGATGGTTCAGCTATTACAACGCTAAACTAATTTGAGTCAAGAAAAAAAGATTACCTACCGTGTAGTTAAGGCTGAAATCTTGGGTGAGAGCGACATGGTTTTGGCAGATACGGCACACGTAGAAACGAAGACTGGGATCAGACACATCGAACTCAACATGAAATGACTTTCCCATCTCTGAAAACTTCCTTATGTTATGTAGAACTATTTTGAAGCAGAGAGGAATGTAACTCACACGAACTTGGTAAGTTGTAAGTGGTGATGAGATCAAGAGCAGATGAAGAAGAGGTTTAAGATAACCGGGAATTAGGGGAGCTATATAGAATATTGAATGCGACGGATAAGGCAGAGAACTATATATAGCATTTTCTTGATTAACAGGAGAAAAGCCAAGTTAAAGAAATTACAAGAGATTGGGGGGTTTGCGGAATTTGAGTATATGCATATTTCTGTTGTGCATAGTTAGTTACGTGTGTATATTTATACGGGATTAAACGGTCTTTGCCAGAAGGTAAGCTGATAAGGAGGTTGGGAGGAAGAGAAATCTCTACTTAACTGCCAGTTGACCTCTTAGATTTCTTAGCCTTTTCTTTTTTAAAAAAAAAAAAAAAAAGGATCCATTTGGTTTAATGGTATACTTCAATCTAAACCTGGTTCTACAATGAATTTCACGAAGCAAAACAACTAATAAGATACTTGGATCTACCTTTCATCTACTTCAATTTCAAGAAAGTAGTTATTTCCATCTAATAAGATACTGTTAATGATTTTAATTGGCCTTTTTCTATCAATTACTGCTTCAAATAGCTGCTGGGGAGCGAGATTCAAAGTTTTCAGCTATAACCATAGTTAAACAATAGCTCAACGATTCATCTAGTTTCTTCAGAGTAGATAGCATTGGATTAAGGACCAAATGGCACTAGATCTCCTTCTCCACTTTTAATTGAATTCCAAAATATTATTAAAAATAGAAATTTAATTTTTCCAGTATATTAATTTGAAAGGTTGAAATAAAGCATGCCGTTTTGCACCAAAAGAAGAATTGAGAACTGAAATAGAACTATAATACGATTGTATTCCAAACATGAACTACACATACTGGATCGAGAAGATCCATGGGTAAACACCCCCCCCCCCCCAAAAAAAACAAAAGAAAAAACAGTGAAGTACCATCCGATTCAACTAATCCTTGACAAACATAACCATAAACTGAAAAACTACTCTAACAACAATCCCATTAGAAAGAACTTCAAGAGCTAGTAAACTTGGTAACAGCCTTAGTACCCTCAGAAACAGCATGCTTAGCCAATTCTCCAGGAAGTACAAGTCTCACAGCAGTCTGGATCTCCCGAGAAGTAATTGTGGGCTTCTTGTTGTAACGGGCCAATCTAGAAGATTCTTGGGCCAACTTCTCAAAGATATCGTTAATGAAACTGTTCATGATACCCATGGCCTTGCTCGAAATCCCAATGTCAGGGTGAACCTGTTTGAGCACCTTGAAAATGTAGATCTTGTAAGTCTCAACGCTCTTCTTGGCCTTCTTCTTCTTCTTATCTCCGGCAGCAGCACCGCCGTCCTTTGGGAGTTTCTTCCCGGCCTTTGGCTTCTTCTCAGCCGGAGCTTTCTCGGCGACGGTGGTTTTCTTCTCCTCCACCGGCTTCTTTTCTGCTGGCTTCTTCTCTGCCTTTGGTGCCATTGAAACAAAATGTGTTTACAAAGAGAAAAATGTGAAGGGAATTTGAATGCTGCTGTTTGTAGGTAAACTGATATTTTAAGATGTGGGCAAGTGCAATGTATATATAGAAGCAACAGATGAAATCTTATTGGTTAGTGGTTGAGGCGCGCGGATTGATGAGTTGGCAGGATTTGGAGCGTCGGATTTATATGTTCTCGTGTGAGGATAAATGCGCGGTGGTGATAGAGTTTACCTTTTGGGCTTTTTATTGTATGGGAAAAAAGTGGGAGGAGTTTTGAGCAAATTTCCACTTCGCGCCTCTGGCGTTGGCGGTTCCCTAAAATTCATGAAATTTCGGCGGATTTTAGAAAAAATAAAAAAGAAGACTTTGGCGGATCTTTGTTTTTACTTTGGTGGATTAATTTACTGGGGAAAATGGAAAATGAGAGTATAATATGGTTAATGTTATAAAATAATAAAAGAAGAAAAGGAGTATTGCAGAGAAAAGTAGATAGAACACTCTTATTCATTTGGGATGATTTAAAATGGAATAGAACATTTATATTTATAGGGAAAAGTGACTTAGTCGCCAAATAACAAATCATAAAATCACTCTAAAACAGATACAGTACCTCGTTAAAATCTTAACTAAAATAAAACCTACTGGAAAAAATTCTAGTGAAGGAAACAGAATACACATATCTAACAATACGTCTTTCGGTTGCCTCGTTAAAAACCTTGCAAGGAAAAACCAGTGGGACAAAACCTTATAAGGAAAAAAGAGTACAACGCGTATTAACTCCCCCTGATGAGAGCATTAATTCACATGTTTAAGCATTCGCATCCCGATCTTGTACATTAGTTTCTTGAAGGTTGACGTCGGTAGAGATTTGGTGAACAAATCACCCATATTAACTGAATGAATATGTTGCACCTTGAATCATACCGATAGAGATGAATTGTCTTCATATGATCTTGTTGGAATCGTCATTTCAATATCATCGGCAAAAACTCTTGCTATCATATTATCATATGGCAAGATACATTTGTGCACAAATTGCACTAAGGATGTGGTACTTCAAGATCAAAAATTGTATATGCTTTAAGCGATTTAAATCCTTCAGAAATTGTCATATAAGTTAAGTCAAATAAGCCATATAAATAGACTTTAGGTGCATATCAAATTTTCATGACATGCTAGACATATAAGATAGATAAAAGTGATTGGACACTCTGTTGACTTTATACTTTCAAGTGTTTGAACTCCATATCCAAAACTACTTGTCTTCCATATGAAACCAATTCTACTTGAATTGTTTCTCCAGATTAAAGATCCCCATATATATTCAGCGTTATTTTAGATGTAGTGACGAACATCTTATATCGATTCCAACCTCCTTTTTTCATAAAGACATAACATAGAGATCTCTTCATTCATATTTTCAAGTATCTGAACCTCTCCTGAGATTTTATGAAGTGTTATATCATGTGATCTTTTAGATCACTTGCCTACTTATTATGATCATTTTGACCATTTGCTTATCTTCTTTATCAGGAATTTACTTGAAACCGACTTGTCTAAACGTATCATAGACTTTGTCATTCTAGGACTTATTCTAATAAGAGCATTTGCATTGAGAATATAGTTACTTTTTTGGGGTCAGCAAATATTTCTATCATGCTTTGTAATATATTGCAGACGAATTCTCTTTTTATGAACTTCAAGTTCATATTATCTTATTCGAGGATCTAGGTGTAGAAATGATAATTCATTCCACGTAATTTTTTCTCAATTGTTTATCCTTTCTCGCTGTCATGTTAGAAAAACTAACTTGCTTCCTCAACTTTGAAAATCCAGCTTTGTGTGTTATGGTGCTAATTAAAATATACACTGCATATCAACAATAATAAGATAAAATTATTTGGTTCCTAGCTCCGAACCACTCGTGAGGGGAGAATTTGATATACTTTCATATATAACCTATATCAAACTGATATAGATAACTTTGTTCTCATAAGCAACAATTTTGCTATTAAGTGGAGGCACTCAATAAATTATTTTGCTAAATCAACTGTGATGTAAACCAACTTATCAAGATGAACTGTCTTGAATAGGAAATCTGAAAATTATGCTCTAAATTAAATCATTGCGCAAAGCTACCTCGCAAACACCATGTTGCGGGTTAATAATAATCGCACATGTAATCATCTCATGGATGCATATTATATGGTATACATGGCAGGTGTATGGGCCCATATTCACCTTTAATATTTCCAGCATTCATGGGACTCAATTCCAAATTTAGTTGGTATATAAATTAATGAGAACAAGCAACATAAGAGAACTCATAAAGAACTTTCTAATTCTTTAATATTTACCCATGTGAATTCTCTTTTATTTTTGTACATCATACTTAAATTAACATGGCCAAACCAATTATACCAAGTGGATAAATTATCAATATTGATAAACTTCAGGTTTACACCGTGACATGTGCAATTATCAATAAACTCCAAGTTTATTATGATATGGGTTTTTATATCAATAAACTTCCACTCTTGTAACGACCCGACCAGTCGTTTTGAGCATTTACAGTTCGCTCGGTGGTTTGAGGGCACGAGTAGCTCCATATGATGTGTTATGACTTGTGTGAGTCGTCGGTTTTGGTTTTCAGGTTATTCGGAGTCGATTCGGGAGAATGAATTTCATGGTTTAAGCTTTAAGTTGGAAGAGTTGACCAAGTTTGACTTTTTAGTATTTGACCTCGAATTGAAGTTTTGATGATTCCGTTAGGTTCGGATAGTGATTTTGACTTGGGCATATGCCCGGATTTGCACTTGGATGTTTCTAGAAGGTATCAGCACTGACGAAAGTTGGAAATTTGAAGGTTTAGAAAGTTCATAAGTTTGATCGAGAGTTGACTTTGATGATATCGGATTCAAATTGTGGTTTCGTAAATCGGAATAGCTTTGTTATGCCATTCGGGTCTTGTGTGCAAAATTTGAGTTCATTCCGGGATTAATTGATATGTTTCCGTGCGGATTTTGGAAGTTGAAGATTCAAAGTTCATTAAGTACGATTTGAGGTCTGATTCGTTGTTTTGATGTTTGTGTAATTTGAGGCTTCGAGTAAGTTCGTATTGTGTTTTAGGACTTGTTGGTATGTTCAGACGGGGGTCCCGAGGGGATCGGGTGTGTTTCAGGGTGAGTTTTGAACAAGTTTGGGTATTTCGGCACTTTGATGATGTTCTGGAATAGTTGAAGTGCGGAGGGCACATCTTGGAGTGCTGAGGCAAAGCCTCATATGCGGACCATAGAGGAAAAGTACGTACAACAGAGGATATGTGCGGACCGTAGAGGAAAGGCGGACCGCAGAAATCCTCTTGCGGCCGCAGAAAGGAGAATCTGCAGGTTTTGATGGTCTGACTTCGGAAGCATATATCTTTTAATATATAAGGAACTGGAGATGATCCAAACACAAATGTTGTATCCCTTTGAGTCTAGTTTTCAGAAAGGTATACCATTCATCATTTGGACATTTGTAAAGAAAGTTATGGCTAATTTTCTAAAGGCTGGCAGTGCAGTTGCTGCTGAAGTTCTAGTTCATTACCCAATATTGAACACCACCCACAACATGTCTATGGAGCCTCTAAGTATAACAGAAGAGTAGTATTGAAGTGCCGGCGACAAGGCCCCGGCTATACCTCAAAACACAATGTGAAAAATCAAACGGCATAAGGCCCCGAAGTAGAATAGGGTTCACCAAGTCTGCTGAGTAGAGGGTAACTGATAACGAGGATCAAAGTTGTCGCTGACGAACCACTTGCATCCATATAGATGCAGTGCCCCCGGTAAAATAAACGTCAGTACATATGGAATAATACCAGTATACAAAGATAAATACCCTCTCATGAAATAGAATACCAATATAAAAAGGGAAAAATCATGAAAAGCAACAAGGTAAACCAATGATATCCAAATGCCAAGTTAAAACACAACAATTTTCAAAATAAAAATTTAGGTTTTTTGGTTGAGAGATCATTAGCCTCCGATCATCACACCATACACGAGGCATGTATTCCGATCACAAACTCGATCAGCTGAGCCATCTCTCCACGAATCAATATGGATTGACATGGTGATGAGAATAAAAGGTGATACCATGGATGAGGAACCACCATGCGCGCGACATGGCGTCCGATCACCACCCGATCGACTAGGTCGTCTCCCCACATATAACATGTGAGTCGACATCAAATCCAAGGCCAGCAATATCTCATCCCAATCAAGGGGAATAATCTAAACACATCAATCTCATCCCAATTAAGGGAAATAATCTCAATCAACTCCTACATCGGTACGTGTAGCTTCAGGTGTGGGTCGTTACAACCCACCCTTCATCGCCTCGCTAATGATACTCCCAAAATATTTTTGTAAACAAAAGAAATAGAAATACAAATGCATTCATGTCATAACCGCTCAAACCATATATAGCTTTATTAGTACTTTCAACCACTCACTACATCATTACTTCATTGGCTCTCTTGGCCTTACATATGATCCTTCATTCATGGCACAATGGCCGTATTTTCATACTTCTCACTTTTATTTCTTTACTTTCAAGGATCATTATCATAAACATCGACATATAAAATATTCCGAAAATCATAACTTTAAGTTCATTAGTAATGAAGGCTTTAAACACAATGAATTTTCTTCCAAATAATGGAGCAAAATGACTAGCAGTGGAAGCACATGTTAAAATCATAAACGAGTGATACGCCATTTATCCTTCAAATATTTTTCCCAAAAAGGCAATACACAGTTTCAACTCACGAGTATGTAAGGACTCAAAACACATTGAAAATAATGGTGATTTACGATTGAAACATGGATTCAAATCATATGTATTAGTCACATCAACCATATTTGAACATTTTCACTAAGGATAGTATAATAGGGTAGGATCAATTCGAACGTGACTCGAGTACATAAGCATTTAGGCAAAACAACTTTCGAAATCAGTTTGGAACAATTCAAATAAGAGTTTGAACAAACCACATTTAGAACTTACGAGGAACTCATGGATTCCGATTCTAGAAAGGGAGT